AGCCCCCCCGTGTGCCCCGCCCCGCCCCCCCCCCCCCCCCCCCCCCCCCTCTCCACCTCCAGCTGCCTCACATGGACAGTAATAAGAAAAGATGCCCCTGCCGCCTGGCTGCGGCCCAGACGACATGCATCAGTGTTTGTGACAGTGAAACAGCAGCAAACAGCCACTTGCCCTTGGAGCCAACTCATCAGACTGTAATGACTTCTAATAAAGAGTCGCTCCTCTGTCACACTAATGAATGGGCTCTGTCACTTAATGAATTACTGCAGCTCGTTCTCACTTGTAGCTCTGGTACCGACTCACTTGGTGAAGCCTGTGCCTGTGCCTGCAGTGTGTTTCTGAAATCAGTGATTGTGAAGTGTTTGACATTCTACTCAACAAAGCTGTCAGAGGTCACTGAGCTTTTTCGAATGAAAAGGTTCGTTTTAGCCTCAGGTGTAATTACAGCACTGACCACATGGAGGAGCAATCATACATTCTAATCTAGAGTAATATCCTAGCAGACTAATGGTACTCGTTTTTACTGTAACATTTTTACTGTAACACATTTTATTGTACTTTTGAGTGTATTTTTTTTATCCATTTATCAGTTCAGGATCTCAATCTATTTTATAGACCACAAACCTTTCTTTTGAGCTTCTGGGAGTCATATCGGATTTGTGTAAACTCCCTGAGGCCAAAGGAACCTCCGACAACCAGCAACTATAAACAAAAAAAGACTGCTGTTATTCTGTTTTGGCTTTGGTCATTTAAAAAAATGTAATTTTAGTATATTACAAATATACACAGAATTCTCTCTATATTTCATGATCTTGAAGTAAGCTTGCGTAAACAGAAATTACTAGTACAACAAACTATTTACATTTTTGTCGTAAGAAAAATACTTTTAAGTTAAAGGTTTTGTTGGTTCAAAGAACGTCCAGGGCTACAAATGACTACTTTCATTATTAATGAATTTTTTCAAAACAAGACTTGGGTACAAATATATATCCTTTCAGTATAATATCTAATCATTTTTGTACCAGCAAATCATAAACATTTCATCAGGGGCAAGCCAATACACAAAGAAAAATATAACATTCTATACATCAACTAATTATGTTTAAAGACAAAATGTTTAAGAGTAACTGGTAAACTTCTAAAATAACACAGTCACTACCATCAAATGCAAAGAAAAGCGATCAACATTACAGAAAGATTTAATAAATAAAGTCGCTAGTCATGTCCATTAGACGGTGGAGGTACTAACAGTATACGGAGGCAAAATAAATTAAAATAAAACACCGATTAACATCAATACAGTCTTTTTGGCTTTGACAGCAGTCCTGTGTTCATGACACTGCCAAAATGCTAACAGATATGAGGGCTAACTTAGCTTTACTGCAGCTTATACAGAATTAAAATAATACTTACAAGCATGGGAATTCCATATTTGAACGTCTTATTTCTCTTCAAGTGTTGTAAGCTGAACATGACTCCTTTTTGAAGTAAAAGACGACTTTTCTGAAGACAACATTGGACGAATGGGTCACAGTCCAAACACAGTTCCGGGAAGGTTCTACACGGTAAATTCTCCGGAGCGCAGCGCGTCTGAGATTGGGTTCCGTTGTCGGGATTAGTGAAGAACGAGGGATAACGTTGACAGTTGGAAATGTAATTCAATTTTAAATAAATAATTTTAATATTTAAATTTGAGACCCCATTTTTGTTGTTTACATGTCCCTCTTTACTAACACTGTAACAATATATCGCAATAGTTGTGCGTGTAGTGTGGTGTAGTGCATTGCTGAAAAAGAAATGTCCAATCATCTTTCTTCCATTTTGTTTGTTACATATAGTTTCCAAATTAGTTTTAAAAGTGTTACAAAATTCGAGTAAATATTTAAAACGATTAAACATTGACATATAGTAATCACGACACTGTTAAAGAGCGCATTTTAAAATGTTTTCCTACCACTCTCGGAGTTTCCAGGTCCACTGATTTATGAAAACCACAAGGTGCGGTTAATTTGCTTCCTTTTTTTTCTTGACTTCCTTTTTCTGGGCGTTTGCGCATGCGATAACTTAATTTGTAAAATTCACGTGGGACTGTTTTCTATTCCAGAATCAAAAATACTAAACTATTCTGGGAGTCTGTAATATTGTTTCTAATCCTAATCATTTATATCACAAGGTCTCAATTATACTACCTTCACATTTAAGTCCGTTTTGTAGGTACTATTTTTTATATTGATGTATAGTTGTTGATTGTTTTTAAAACAGCTTAAAAAAAGGTAAATCAACAGTATTTATCAGCATTACAAATTAATCAAAATAATCAAAATCATAATATATAATATATGATTATATAATAATGTAATATATATTACTATTATATATACTGTATTTATATTATCAATAGTTATCTCCTACTAAATGTAAGTGCTTTGCGTGAAATATATATAGCAACAAAGCTAACTAAAATGATATGTATTCTATAATATTTGTAAACTGTCTGAACAGACAATAATGCAGTGAACAGAGACATTATATCGATTTTTCTTTATTACAATTCTCGTCTCTTATTTTCAATCAGGTGAAGAAAAATACCTTTTTGTTCAGTATAATAAAATATGTTAACTTTATTCACTTTATGAAGAAAAAACAAATGACAAGGAAATAGAAACAGAAACAAACAATGTTTTCTCTCTCCGTCTTTGTAAACCTGGAGAGCTGCTGCATCGAAGCAAATACAACGGAGACAGAGTGTGAAGGAGCAGAGAGAAGGATGGACAGGGTTGGGTGACGAGGTGAAGGAGAAGACAGAAAACAAGGGCGAAAAAAATAAAAATAATAAGGCCAGAGACGTACAAAAAATGGGCACAGCAGAAGAGGAATGTGAGGAGAGAGGTGATGGTGAGGGTCCAGGCTGAGGATGTGGCAATGAGTGGAGCAGGTAGGCTGGTGGTGGTCCCAGTCAGGACGACTGACAGAGAGTTCACAGGTCGCTCTCTCCGTACAGAGCCGTAGAAAAGGACATGTAGTCCAGGGCCCCAGGTACTGCGTCAGGGCCAGTGTAGGGGGCCATGCGGGCCATGCAGTACTCTGCTTGGTCTGGAGGAAGCTCTCGGCGCAGCTCATCAGCTAAAATGTAGTTCTGTTGAGGACGAGAAGAACAACATTTACTGTGGTATAAAGTGAGAAAACATCTACTTGACAGTTTTTTGAATCTTCCCAAATATCAGCTGAAAGCAATGACTTAAACAACTCTGTTCCTGAACATAGCCCTATGTTATTACAATGACTTAAACAACTCTGTTCCTGAACACAGCCCTATGTTATAATATTTATGTTGTTGAGGTTATGGGTTATTCAAGGTGTTTATGGTTGAAATCAGAGCCAAGATTTAAGCTTCTATTATATGAGGTAAAGAGTAACATCATCTGCATAGAGCATGATTTCATGGATCACAACTCCAAGTCTGAAAATCCCATGTAGTCTATTTTTTGTACTTTAACTTTACATCAGATTGAAAGAACGGTTCAACAACTGTAATGTTTAAGTGTTGTTGTCATTGTCAGTCACAGTTAGAATAAACACTGTTTCAGTGTAATACTGTTTACGGTGTTTGTTTATGGTGCTGGTCTGCACAGTTGCAGCTCAGTGTACAAATACCGATAGATGGAATAAATGAGTCATTGACGGTACACACTGTGCTGTACAGTAAGACATGGACGCGGCCATCTGGTTCTAACAGACACCTTGACAGTAAAGAAGCTCATGTTGACTGAGGCAAAGACACTGAAGAAGAAGTCTCAGTCCTCTAATCCTTCATGTAAAAATGTGGTCAAGTTACGAGAAATACAAGTTAGAGTCGGAGAAAAAGTTAAAAAAAAAATGGAGCCCTGATCCAAAATAACTCTAAAAAGGAGACCAAATTTAGTGTTCGGTGATTCAGAGTTATTGGCCATCACTAAGGAAACATTCAAGTAGAGTCCAAATCATTTCTAGTCCAAAAAGTAAAATTCAAACCATAAGGTTAAAAGATTAGAGTCCAGAGGAAGTGCACCAGACTTCAGACTATGGACAAGGTAGAAAAACCAGGTGGAGTTCAAGTCAACGCCCACATTCTACTGTTAATCTGAGCAGCATCACTGCTAAAGACTTGGGTACAACTATACTGTTCTAGAACTTCTTGATGTTTGATGTTTAAACCTTTTCTTCCTGTATTTATTGTTGTTTGGTCATTTACTTCCTTTCTCAGTATCAGCCGGGTACTTTTTAGCCTTGGTTTACACATCAGTTATGTTACCAGGTCTACAGAGGTCTTGAAGTACCTTATCTCCAGCCAGGACTTTGAAGGAGGCCATGACTTGGTCGGCAGTGTCTGTGTCCGCTGTCTCGCGAGACATGAAGTCGATGAAGGCCTGGAAGGTGACGATGCCCATTCTGTTGGGGTCAACTATGCTCATGATGCGAGAGAACTCGTTTTCACCCTGGAGGCAAGAGAGAGGAACTGTCAGGGAATTTATTGATGTTTCACAGAGGGTGACATTTATATATAAAAAGTGAGAAGAAAAATAAAGAAAATATTTGAAGGTAGAGTATGGTGATTATTTTTTAAAGAAATAAATCATACAGTTACCCTTATATGGAAGAAGTACAGAAACATAAAATAACTAAAATTACTACATAAAACTAAACATGAACTTTTTGGTACTGCAGTTACTTCAGGGAACTCTTGGTAAATAATTTGTGAGATTAATCAGATTAATAATTTAAATGGATACAATGATGTGCACTATACAGTATATGTAATAATACCACAGTCATCCACTTATGGTTACTCCAATACATTATCAATACATTGATTGATTCTCACTACTGGCAGAGCTAAAGCTTCATTAACATCTCAAAGGCTAGCATGATTTTGCAGAGGTTTGGACTTTCAGTCAGACTCCCTGTGTCAGACCAGCTTCACTGAGCAAAGGTTGGTGAATAAGTCAGTTGACAGCATTTTATTTTAGGGGCCAAATGCTAACACACTTGGAGTAGTGGCATCAGAGGTGTACAGCTCTACTGGACAGCATGGTGCTCAGTGCTATAGTACCATGACCAAAAGTAGCATTAGCTCAGCCTGTCTTGCTGTGATTGTCTTGTTGATCAGACTATTCCATCAAGAGTTAATCACTAATATTGACTGTAATGTACAGGATCAGATTTCTAGAAAACAATATTATTGTACCAGTTCACTAAACCCATGGACCGAGGCTTTCCAACTGTGCGATGTAGGAAGGACTAGCCACACGCTCAGTGTTTATAAAGACAGAACTCCTGCATACTCTACCTCTGAGGTTACACCCAACACTAACTGCTGGTCTCAACATTCACACAGAGCATGGAAGAGAGTTCTTGGTTTTACCAGGTTGTACCCCATGGAGATAAGGCAGGTTTTGAAGTCTTCAGCGTCCATGATTCCTGTTCTCTTCTACAAGGTCAGCCATGGACAAAGAAAACCAGAAGGAAGAGGAGAAGGAGGAGCGAAGGGAGGTTCCAGAGACAGGAATGGAGAGCCAGGGAGAGAGGAGGAAACCATTGTAGGAAATACAGTAAAGGTGGAATGAAATAGATTTTCACAGAGACACCACAACAATCCATAAAAAAAGGATGTTGCAAGATGAGGAAAATCCACCAGGAGTTTAATGGAAGGGGAAGAAAGGAAAAACAAGGGAGAAAAGGTGCAAAAAGAAAAAAAAAGACAGCAGTTAAACCTCTCACCAGGAGGGTGTAGCCACGTGTAGGTACCTGTGAATCGTTGGCGATATCGAAGCCCAGGCTGATCAGGCAGGCCTTGAACTCCTCCGCGCCCAGAGTGCCCGAGCGGTCCTGAGGTGTTGTGGGGGGGCGGCCAGTGCCAGACGAGGCATCGGGGGGGCCACAGGCCATGCAGCAACACATACAGCCGTGTCAGTGACGGTGAGGAGGTGAGACGAGGGGGTAGGTGAGGAAAAGGGGGAGGAGGAGGAGGTGGTGGTAGAACAGGGAAGGAGGGTTGAGGGTGTACATCATGCAGAAAGGTGGGGATGGAGGAGGAGGAGGAGGTGAAGGGAGGGAGGAAGGGAGGGAGAGAGGAAGGGAGGGAAGGCCATGCAGGAGGAGACAGAAAAGAGAGAACACACAGTGCATATTGATTAGGATCTGGTGCAGGTGAACACACGGTGGCAGCAGCGCTGCCATGCTGGGCCGGCGGCATTCACAGGCGTTAATGTGCAGTGTGGCAGGCAGAACTACTGGGCCTCGTGGTGAGGCTGGTGTTATTCATGAGACATGTACTCAACAACAACAGCAACAGCAACATAAACAACAACAGTAGCAACAGTTTCAGTTTGACCTCTTTGTACAGGTGAACGTCAGCCATAAAAACACTCACAAAAAAACTGTTATAACAGCTATGATTCCACCATATTTTGATATATTTGATCTAAACGTAATTTGACATGGATATTTTTATTATTATTATTATTCACTCAACTGCTGGCATCAGTGTACCTTTTTAATGACTAGACTCTGGTCCAGTTCAGGTCGTTTCTCATTAGAATATGATGTCACTATTGTAAAAAGCAAAAAAATAAAATAAAATAAAATGTAATTAGACGTTTATTCCTAGAATTGATAGGTAGATGGGTCTATTGCCATCCCCCTTTATTCCTAGAATTGATAGGTAGATGGATCTATTGCCATCTCCCCCACTACAGTCACCTCAACTTTATTGTGAACACTGTTGTTTCCACAGAAGTGCTACTTTCCAATAAACTAAATGAATTCAGTAAAATACAGTCCAAATTCCCCATTTTTATGTCCAGGTTTGATCTGTCGTTTAGTCTTTTTTCCCTTTACTCTGTTTGAAAATCAACATTTAAGCCTGACAAGACAATTAAATGTAGAATCAAGGGAAATTCTCCTCCAGATTCAATTTCCTTCGTCTGCATCCTCCTCCTCTGATACTGGTTAACTAGAGGAGAATGTATGATGTAATAGTAGAGTCAGAGTGTGACGGATGGAGGAGGAGGAAAAAAAAGAAAGATCCATAATTGGTTCTGTTCCTGTCATAGTGATCCCAGTGTAAACACACAGTTGTGGGGTCAGACGAGGACGAGGACGAGGACTGATGGGTTTATAGAAATAGATTTCAGTGGGAAGACAGTGTTCTACAATCTCTGTACCTCAGACACAGACTAGTGTCTATTTCCAGGACTCCTGACTAGACTTGACTGGAACAAGGATTTCTGGTTCCTACATTGCCAATATGAAATAAAGGTGTACACTCCAGCTGCCAGACACTGATGACACATGTTTGATGTCATTATAAGGACAGGAGTTTTCAAACACTAGCTCAGAAGAACTGTAATAGAATGGATTCCTGTCCCAGAACGTGGCAGTTTGCTCTTTAATCTTCAGACTAATGCACTGCTGCTGCATCAACGGTCTACAGAGAGACTCCGTCTGAATACTGACCCTGTCAAAGTGGTTGAAGGAGGCGCGGAACTCGTTCAGTTGGTCCTGGCTGATTCCCTTGGCATCTCGCGTCAAGATCTGGTTCTCGATTTCGTTGATGGTGCGAGCGATGGTGGTGAGGAGCTGCTCCCAGCCCACACGGATGTGCTGCAGGGGAGAGACATGGGGCGAGACATGAGGAGAGACATGGGGGTTGACAAAGGACGAACCAAGAGAGAAAAAAATCAAACTCTATTTTATTCTAAAGGAGACAACAGAGGAGACCTTTGATTAATCATTCTTTTTGTTTTTTTCTTAAACCAATCCAAACAGGGGTACACAGACCACTGTTGGTACAGAAGGATTACAGGAGGGATACAGATTTGATCATGTTTGCAGTTTAAGTGTTTGTTTAAAGTGGTGTCGTTACTTTTTAAAATGAGTTTATTATAATAAATGTAGTAGAAGTTTTTAGATTGTAAGATTGTTTTGAACAGTAAAACAAGACCTCTGTTGTAAAGTACACAAACACAGCACTATTTATTATTTTCTATTATAATTGTAACAGCAGCTTAACTTATATATTTTTATCTCAATGTAAATTGACATTTTTTTTAAATGAATTAGGGTTTTAATTTTAAAAAAATCGCAGAATCCACTGGGAGGCGCTCTTGCTGTTCTCTGTTCTGAGGAGATTTAACTGCAGAAGTATTTTCTACAGACCTTAATGGACATTAAAATATTTTCCACTAAATTATCAGCTGTTACATGTTTTATAAACTTCTTGAAGAATCATTACTATGCACTAGTTTGGGGGCGGGGGTTTGAGGGGTTTATGGTGCCCCCCCACACACACACACACACACCATACGATGAAGATTTTCATGTTGAGTGGAGAGTCACAGAGTAGAGCAGCCATGCAGTGAACTCTCACCTCCATGGTGTACTTGGTGTGTTTGTTGTCAAAGATGAGAGCTTCCTGAATCAGCTGGTGGTCTCCCTCCAGCTGGTCGATCTTTGGCTTGTAGTTGACGATGCTCTTCTCGTACTGGCGTAGGTGCGTCAGCTGGTCCTCCAAGGTGCCGTGCATCTCCATGGAGATGCGGCCGATTTCCTGCAGCCACACAAACACACACAGGAGTTTGTACAAGGGACCTGTGGACGACACGTTTCCGCCGGCATCGCTCTAAAATTCTAACAGACCTCCATCTTGGTCTGGATCCAGGGCCCAATCACATTGGCTTGGTTGGCAAACTGTCGACGCAGACGCTCGTTGTTCTGCTGTCTGGCGTGTTCCTCAATTAGAGCCTGGTCACGCTGTGGCACCAGCTGCCTGACCTGCAGTGGACACAGGAGTCAGACATGAAGAAAACACGATGCTTCACATAAAACTCATCTTCTCATCAAAGACAACGCTCATCAAAGCTCTCTGAAGTCTGACGTGATTAGACGTGTGTCAACGTTCTCAGTCACCCAGGAAACCTGACTGGCTACGGTTGAAGATGTTTCACCTCTCGTCTAAAATCTGATTCAACAGCGACTGTTCAGAGACAGGAGGGAAACTCAATGACAATCCATCAACATTGAACAGCTGAGGGTAAGCTTCAGTGGGTTTGGAGTAGAAAAGAAAAACATTTTCAAGGCTACAAATAGAAACTGAAAGGAACGGAAAAATATTTTCAATTTCAAAGCAAACTCTCGTGTCGCAGCGTGAGACAAGGCCAACAAAAAGCCAGTGTGGCTGCACTGACTGAATGCTGCAAAATGCTGCCAGAAACAACACGTCAGTGGACGCTGGGCTGATTCCAGTTGTATATATAAACAATAAAAATATTTGTTTCCATTTTCTAGTTGTTTGTCCAATGTTTGGTTTTTTTCCCCACTCATAGACGGCAGAATTTATATTCTACCAACGAGGACTGGAGTGAGCTGCAGCAGACCACTGACACGCTCTGTGTTTGAGTCAATGTCTTACTTTGTCCCATTTGGCGTTGACCTCCTGTGGGTTGATGGTGGTGTACGGGTTGGTTCCGGTTATGTTCACATGGTAAGTCTGCACGATTTTGGCGATCTCGTTGTGAATTCCCAGGATGGCCTGACGTTCCTTGTCCGCCTCTGGCAGCGTGGCTTTGAACTGCTCGTGGGCCGTGCTCAGTCCCTGAGACACAGAAAACACAGCGTTGTTCAAAACCTCCGGGGGCGCTGTACCTCCCCACAGATCAGAGGTTGCTCAGCAATATAGTACTATAGTGAGCATTCCAGGTTAGCATAGCAGCATAGCAGTGTTGGATTACATCTACTTGTGTTAAATGCAGAGATTGGGATGAACAATTGTTCAATTATTCTTATCTGCACATTTTTGGACAAAGTCCACACAACAAGACCATGGATTTAATCAGCCAATCAGGGATCTTCTAGTAAGACAAGAGCACTAACCATTGCTGCCACCATGTGGTGCTCTTTTAGGATCTAATAACTCGCACACAAATCCATTCCTGCCACCATGTGGTGCTCTTTTGTTCTGTTTCCAATTATTATGGTCATTAAAATTTTTTAGAAGAAATTTTCAGTACATGCTAAAAACCATGTCCAGGCCAGTATATTAGGTACATCCTGCTAGTTTTGAGTACTTTTTTTTTACTGTATTTATTATTTAGAAATGCTGAAGAATAGGACTCAGATTAAATCAAGTTTTGCCTTTTTGTCCAACACGAGGTGTGTTTTCATGCTGCTTGAATCTCATATTTATTTCCGTGTTCCTCTCTCCACTCACCTGGATTTCCTCGATGGTGTGAACGATAAAGGTGTCCTGCAGATCCTCCATGGCGCCTTCCATCCAGTTGTTGAACGGCGCCGCTCTTTTGGCAAATTCAAGGTACAGTTGGTCGATGGTTTCTAGCAGTTTCTCGGTTCTCTGTGGAGGATAAACAAACTCTTTCTCAAAGGCAAATTCACAGACAGCACATTTTATGTATGACCTTTCAAAGAGCTGGAGAAGGGAAGCGTTTAAAGTTGAGGTGGGTTTAAATATTTTCACAAACAGTCTGGAGACCTTCAAGGGCTCCTCGAGCCACGAGGAGCCCTTGAAGGTCTCTTCAGAGTGTTGAATAACACTTCGATTCATTTTGCTTCACAGACAAGTGTCACACGAGTGTCTAAAGCTGTAAATTCTATTCAGCTTCCATTCTCGTCTCCATGGTTTAATCACGGACTCCTCTTCAAACCCTCACACCTGCAGAGCCTCACTGCGTTTCTGGGTCAGAGCTCCCAGACTGTCCCACTGGTCACAGATCTGCTGGCAGCGAGCGTTTACGCTGGGGGAGTCGTAGTAGTCCAGCTCACTGACAACACAAACACAAACACAGAGCCATTCAGAGTGAATAACAACCACGGTTTAATGTGTGCTCCCAGAGAGCCCAAATCATTTCATTATTTACAGCAGTGGTTCTCAAACTGTGGCACATGTAAATGCAGGGTACTTAGCCCCCTCTTGTGGTATGTAGTTTGAAAAATAAATGTATGTCCTCGTCTGATCAACAGCCAACATTTGTGTTGTGTACTTCATACACTGGTATAGCTGTAGAGCAGGCCTGAGCTGCAGTATTTTAATGAAGCTCATGCTAATACTACTTGGAGAGACAATTATTTTTGAGGTAGTCCACGGTGTACAAAGTGTTGCGTCTTCTTACTTCAGTTCCTGTGCGATTGCTGCGATCTGCTCCACTCGGTCCTGATGTGCAGCGAGGTCGCTCTCGAAGGCCTCGTGTTTCTTCAGCAGAGCCTTGATCTCCGACAGAGTCGCCGTCTCGTAGTCACGCTTCTGCAGCATCTCCTCCTTACCTGCAGGGGGAGGTGATGGGAAACTTAGTATTGGCATTATTTATAAACCATAAATGATGCAGATAAACAATAGACTAGTCCAATAACGTCTTCAGTTCAATGGTTGGTCACATGAGGGCAGTAGGTTCCATTACACGTCACTGCAGCAGGACTGAATCATCACTACCTTCAGTCCAGGCTTCGTGTATCGCTGCTTTCTGGCGGAATTTCTCTGCCAGGTGGTCGAGTCTCTCCAGCCTGCGGATCTCATTCAGGAGCCACTCTTCGTAGCCCTTCTCCGCTCCCTCCAGATTACCCCAGGCATTGTTAATGTCCTGAAGAGACGGAGGAAAAGCATAAGGAGGTTAAACAGGTGGGGAGTGGAACTTTAGGGAACCGTGCTTTCATTAAAAAGGTACATGACCTTTAGCTAATTCTGATGAACCAGTAGCTATGGTTAAGCTACAATGTAATGTTGGCTGTGTTAGCTTTTTGCTACCTTTGTCTATGCCTGACAACACTGAAACAAAGCTAAGTATTCTCCTGACGTCACGTGAACCACAGTCTGCAAAACAACATTGTGTTTTTTTCCCCATTTTTTTCTTAAGAGAATTCAGTTTTTCCAGAGTGAGAGTTTGTGGCCCTGACCTACCGAGACCATCTTCCCCTCCGAGGGCATGAAGGCAGGTCTGTTGCTGAGCCTCAGCTTGGTCTGCAGGGTGTTGAAGTTGATCTCCAGCTGACACTTCTCCTGCACTTTGGGTGGTTTGTGGAGGCGTCTGTAGTCTCTGAAGTCCTCCAGCTTCTGCTGCATGGCCTGCATGGTGTTCTCCGGCATACGGTTCTCCAACCAGGGGATGGTACGGCGGATCCACTCCAGCAGCTGAGGTGTGTGTGGTGGTGGTGTGTGTGTGTGTGTATGAGTAGGTGGGAGGAAGGACAGGAAAATATGGAGGATAAACAAGTTTAGGGAAAAGAAGAAAAAATCATGCAAAAGGACAGGGCAAAATGAATGAACATCAATGGTTGGATGGAGAAATAGGGTGAAGTTGTATGTAAATAATGTATGAAAAAGAAGTTAAAAGACTGGATTAGATTGTTTTCCATAATTCATTGCAATGAACAAAACCTGCTCTATTTTTTCTCATTGACCATTTGAAATAAAATTGTTTTGTTTAGTTCAGTCAAATATTTGTAATGTCCACAGAATAATGAAATAAAATTGTTTTGTTTAGTTCAAATATTTGTAATGTCCACAGAATTGTCAAATAAACTCAATACTAAGTAATAAGAGTATAGTTTCTCATTAGAATTTGAAATTGAATCCGTTTGTGACCATTTTGACATTTAATTCTCTTGACGTTTGTCTGTCTTCTCATCTTTACAGGAAGGGACAAACTATTTTAAAAAAACATGTTTGTTTTTCTATAAAAGAAATCAGAATTTTTACATCAAACCTGTATGGCACATCAAACAATAAGTGTTGTTTTTATGTAGAAAAATCCTGACCCTTTGTGTCAGTTCTCTGATTTTATTGCTTTCTGCTGTTTTCCATAGAAATCTGAGTTGTTTTTTTCCCTCAGAATTCTAATAACTTCCAGCCTGACTTTGTGATTTCATCTGGTTTCTTGCATTTGATTAACACGTGAAAAGTCCACCTCATTACACAGGGGTTTCATTCAGAACACATGAAAAACACTAACATTAAGTCACTGTAGGGTTTCTAGTCCTACCCCTGAGTGGAGCACAGATACCCCAGGTCTGGGAGAGAGGGGAGGAAGAGGAGGATAAGTACGTGGGTAACCATGGTGGTGCAGGTGTGGTGCAAAGGAAAGTGACAGGGGTGTGTGCTCACATCACTGGCTAGTTTCTCATAGTCCTCCATCAGCTGCTCGTTCTCCTGGTTCACAGCCAGAACTTTGCAGATCCTGTTGGCCGCTGTCTCTGCCTGGATGATGAGGGAGAGCAGTGATGAAGAGCAGAATGAGATGCAGGGACAAACATGGTCATGTTTAGTGAAGTATTCCACTCATTTACTGTATATCTAAACATGTCCACGTGGCTGAGCTATAAAGTTGTCCTGAGAAATGAAGCTACAGATCTGCAGCCACACCATTATTTGGCTATTTCTTTTATTTTTCTTCATTTTGGCCAATTGCAAATATTTATGAGTTTACATTTACCACAAATAAGATTTACCTAATTTAAAGATGATTTATTATTGAATTACAGTTTAATTTCTTATTATCAATCTCTATTTAATCTCAGCTATATATTGGCAAACTTTTATTTTTTGTTTTTGTTTGTCATTTTCTGCCACTTTGTAACTAATTATGTTCAACATTAAAATATTATTTTTACATACATTTTTCTGTGTTTACGTTTTTTTTTTCTTTGCAGTATTTGGCTAATTTGAGCTTTACCGTCTTTACTTCTCACATTGTTCAACTGCAAATTCAAGCCAATAAAATGAACTAGATTATGTTTAAAAACATAAACATTTATCCATTGGCTCTTAATGTTTACCTGGTTTGAGTTTATTTTCATTGAACTTTTGAATATTTATCTCAATAGTCGTGTGGAGCGTTTTGGCTACATGGTAGCTAGCCCCAAGCTAGTTTAGCTTACCTGTTGGCTATCCTACCAGTCTTTTCAGCTGACAGTGCTCGATGGCCGTGCTCAAAGTTTCTGCTACAGACGCCTGGTTGGAATTCTTTTTCTCAGGACACATACATAAATTACATAAATTAACAATATTATTTATAGACTCATTAAGACTCAGTGAAGACAACTGTAACAGTTTGGACAGTTCAGGGACATTAGCCTTGAGGCTTGGCTAACTTCTGATCCAGTCTAAAGTTGAAGTTGGAGGAAACATGGGGCTTATCCATGACACAACACTTCCTGAACATTTATATTTATTTATTACTGCTTTGAGAAGGCAGGAACCATCTGGGTTTCCATGACAACATGTTTTAGGCTCACTCTTTGGGTTTGTTGAAGGAGTCTGTACAGGATGGGACAAAGAACCAAATACTGTAAAATATATTTAGTATAATGAAAGTTTAAAAAAAAATCTTCTGGTTATTTTGAATATACTTATTTGGATTACTTTTGTTTCCTTAATACTGTTTTCTGAAGAAGACTTGGGCTGTAGAGATAGAGATATTTGAGTTTTGATTTTTTGAAAACTGTGTCTTTTGTTTGTTTTAGTCTTTTGTTTTTTTTAATTAAAACCTGAGAATGTTCCTTTTTTCTTGTTATTATTACATTTTTCCATCATTGTGATGATCCTATCCAATCTTAGTTTTGTGACATTAACTGCTTCCTAAAGTCATCAAGGTCACAGATGCTGCTGCTTGTACTTCAAACCTCCTAACAAAGGTACTGTGTGTCGGTCTACACACGTGAAATAAAGCAGTGATTCCTGCTCACATGTCTGTGGTTCTTAACCCTGTGCCCTGTGCAGAGCAAAATACGAGTTAAGAGGAATATTCATTGAGAATTCCAGAGGAAAGTTGAAGTCAGGATTCCAGCTTCATGCAAAAGTGAAAAAGATTTAAGCTCAGAAATAAATGCAGTTGATCAGAAAAAGAACTGAAGAATTCAGGCTAATAAAAAAACCTGACACAGAGACATTTGACCTCACGGCCTTTGAATGAGTAGCTTTAGTGAGACTGACTGCAGGTTTCCACGGCGTCACAGCTCACCGACCTGTGTTTCATCCACACACAACCCCACAGCTTCCAGCTTCTCTTTTGTGCTGAGATCACAGAGGAAACTCGACTGTGTCTGAGGCATTTCTTTAAGGGGAGATCTATCGGGCGAGTTGCCTTAAAAGGAGAGTGAGGATGAGCAGGTCGAGCTTCTGTGAGCAAATGTTTGAACTGAGTCTGTTTACTGTGAGCTCTGACAGCCAGCAGTGCTTTATGAAATCCTCTGTCGTGACATCAGAGGGAAGCAGTGCTGTTATTATAAGACTTAGAGAAGTTCTGTGGACTCTTCTTAAATCACAGATAATGGGACTCCACTTCTGATCTCATATCAGGTGATCAAATATATCACCCAACAGTCCAGGACTGTGGCTCACAGCTCGTTTCTCAGGCTGCATTAAAAATGTGTCTAAGATTTTCTTTTTTAAACTTTACAATAAATTTAAGTCTTAAACATACTGCTGCATTGTATTACTGTAAAAAAACAGACGGTTTACTGGGAAGGACATGTTCAAACAGAGCCAGGAGATGGCAGCAGTGCAACTCGAAGTCATAAGTAAAAGACCAAAAAGTAGAAGCAAAATATTGGTGGAGGGGCGGGATCAGCTCACAACCAAACTTCAGAGAAAACTGGTGTGTTTTATATCTTTAAATAACATGTATTTTGTATAATACACTCATTGTCAAGTATGTGTTACTGGTTGTCTGTCTGTCTCTACATGTGGTCCTGGGATGTAACGGAGAACAGGTCCAGGGTGTAGTAAATAAATAAAAAAGACGTAGTATAAGTCAAACTAAGATGCAGTCGTGTTGCTCAGGGCTACAAGCTCTTTTAAAAAGAATCAACTTTAACTGCTGGCCAATATTGAGACCTTATTTTTTTCCAATTTTGATTCACAAACTTGTTACCAAGTATTGTACAAATGTAAAAACCTCCAGAATTGTATTCATTTACTTGGCTCTGAGATTGTAAGTATTTCGAGTACTGCTGGTGTCAAATACCTATCTTTGAACAAACAGACTTAAACAAGGCTTTGGCAAAACACTGACAAATAAAAAGTGCCCTTAAACAAGGCTTTGGCAAAACACTGAAAGACAAATATTCGTCTAAGTGCCAGTGATACAGTGGGTTTTTTTATTTAGTGTATTGTATTTTTTATATTTTATTTTTAGAAAGTAGTGGAACGTTGTAGTAGGTTATGCCATTTCTTCCTACATGAGTGTATTAGTGTATTAAACACACTTGGTGTGGTATTTTAATTAAGACTGAAACCACTGTATTTAAAATGATTATATTAGGCTCTGTATTGTTGTTTGAGTCTAATATTATTTTGTCAGTGTCACCCACTCCATGATCACTGAACATCTCCCTGCCATCTGTCCACTCAGTTCTATTTCATTTTGTTTATTTCTTACTCATCATTTCTCACCTTCTGTTTGCCTGAGAATGCGTGGTAGTAACACGACACATAAGTCATGACGGCCTTCTCATCGGGCCTCAAGGTGCTAATGATGTCTGCCCAGGACACAAGGGAAGGAAGAGAGGAGAAGAGGAGAGGAGAGGAGAAAAAAGGCAAGTGTAAAAAAGTGCAGAGACACCAGCAGCCAGCAGGGGGAGTCATCACAAGAGGAGACAGCAAGTCATTTCCAGGTTACCTTTAGTTTGATCAGAGACTGGTTTGATAACATGAAAAAAAAACGTTCTAAATCCTTTAGTTTGATCAGAGACTGGTTTGAAAACATGAAAAAAAAACGTTCTAAATGTATTTATTGATGGATGTTTTTTTTGACTGACTTTTATCTATTTGCCAACATTTTTAGCTAGTGATTAAAACAGAGCTGTAGTGTTTCACTGCAGCTTCTTATTTAATTCTCTCCTCTTTATCCGATCAGTCAGTGTCTGGTCTGGACATAACAAACCATGTAAATATTTAACCAGGCCTCAGGCCTTAACAAAGCCTCAGGTCAATGTGTTGCTCTTTCTCACCAACTACGTCTTCAATCCAACCAATCACCATCACTTATTGACTCGGCCACACCTCCTCCCTCTGGGAGCACCAGTGGACGTAATCAGGCTGTGATCGTTACAAAAAGGTAAACAGGAAATGACCATGTGCTCACTGCCTCTTAGTCTGTCAAAATCCCATCATGCACTTGGTTGACATAAACCATGCGGAAAGCTACAGGAGAGTGAGGCCTCGCAGCAGGTGATGTGCACTGCTAATAGAACAGGAACCCTGTGAGGAGAAGGAGGTGAATCATAGGAGGAGGAGGAGGAGGAGGAGGAGGAAACACACGCTGCATCCAGGGTACCTTCTGGGCGCCTGAGAAGGCGTGGTAGAAGCTAGACACGTAGGTCATGATGGCCTTCTCGTCCGGACGGGCAGTGCCCACAATGTCTGCAGGAGTAGAGAGGAGGCAAGGGAGGAGGTGGACGGTGGAGGAGGTTACACAGGTAGATTGATGGTAATGGATAAACAGGAAGTAGAACTCAACTTCTTACATAAACAATGACAGTGAAGTGGAGAGAAAAGCAAGCTGTCTGATTGGTCCAGATGTTCTGTGTTGTTTATGTCTACCTGTATGTAAAATGAGAGGTCTGAAGGTGAGCTAGCTGTCATTTATATTACAGGCTGTTAGCTAGCATTTCTTTAGAGCAGTAGACGTCTGCTCTGCCTCCTGTCTGTACAGCTGTGCGTCTGAGCATCAAAAGTCCAAATATAGTTTCTTACAGCCCTTACAAAATAGCCATGAACTCCTTTCCTGAGTTATTACCCTGAGGAATGTGATGAGCCGTTGGCTTCATGAAGCCAAAACAAACTACAGTCTTATGTTATTAATAAACACAGACCATTAGGGAAACATGGCGTGACAGGAGACGAGCTCAGTCTGCTCTCACATGTTCAGACCTCAGATTTCTTTTGAATTCCTTCAAAAACTATTTATTTTCCTCACTCTGCCTGTATCAGCAGAGAGATGTTCATTCAGCAACAAACCTGTGGAGACAATGGTCGTCCAGTTCAGACAGAGTGAGGGCTAAGCTAACGTAGCATTCCAAACGATCTAGGGTTATTTTGTCGCTCACATCAGCACAATACAGATCCCATTTACAAACAATCAAACCTTTAAGGACATTAAAAAAATTTAACTTTTTACCAGGACGTTAAAGGCATCACTGTCATAACCCTATGCTAACTACTTGGTATCAAATGTGGGGGTCGTGTGCTACATCACAGAAAGAAATGTTGTTACTCTGGCCGTTAGACATTTTTCCAAACCTGGAGTTGAGGAAGAAAATATTTGAACCCACAGGAACAAACTCAGAAACAAAAGAGTCGGGACTTTCTCACCACTTTAACGCTGTGTCACTGCTCACCTTCAGCGTCCAACATTTTGGGAATGTCCAGGTATTTCTCTGCCACGTCGAAGGCTGTGTTCAGGTTGGTCATGGGGTCGTCCTGTCCACAGCAGAGACAGGGGAGAATCAAGTTTCTGACAGAAAACCACACACTTAACTGACAACTTTTTCCTAAGGCAGTGAAGGCGTCACTGGCTAAACTGTCTGAGTTGCTCTGATTTTTACAGATTTGTATGTAGCCAATTAATGTATTCTCTATTATTTGATTATTATTTTGAATTAGCAGAGTTGGTCTATTTTTAAAATGGATTGCAAATCACCTTTTCATCTTTAGCAAATTCTTTGAATTCAAAGTGTTAGCTTAACTTGGTTAACCTGGTTCAACTTCATACAGCTATATTCCAGGTCTTTAGCTTTCGTTTGCTAGGTTTTATCAGAATCGTTTTTTTGTTATTGTACAAACAAATATAGTCACACTCTTAAAGTAATTTGAAATGTTATGGTTTCAATAAATCTGTATGTACGGTCCATTTGACAGTACATGTTTTGCAAATGTTCAGCCATTTCAGCTATTTCATTTCATCTCATGAGCGGTCGTGTAGTTCCTCTTACCTTACGGAGTTTTCCGTAGTCAATGAGCTCGGGGCGATGTCGATGGATGAGGGCGCAGAAGCCCAAACCATCTTTCCAGCTGAGACACAGAGAGAGACAAAACAGAGAGACGTGTGTGATTCAAGGGAAGGTCAAGTGGAAACACCATTTTTACCTCATTTGTCCACCAGCAAAAGGATCTGTCCACCAGCAAAAGGATAAAAAAAAAGTGCAACTTAGAGGAGTAGCAGATACTAGTACACAAGCCTAGAGTGCCCTCTAGCGGCTGTTTAAGTATTGAGTATTATATAATTATTTGGAATATACGTGTACATGAAAGACAAGTAGATTGGTAAGGGGAAAAAGTTGACGGCCCTGGACTTGGGGTAAAAAACGACCCACCAAATTATTTTCAAGCACCGTGACCAAATCAGTAATTGTGGTTTGTCTGCTGAGGCCCAGGTTCTGGAGCGCGTTCAGAAAAACCTGCTGAGACGTTCTACTGTGAACAAACTGGGCTCTCTGCTCTGCTTCTGGTTTGGCTTTAATTCTCCACAGTCATTTTTTTGCGGTTGATGACCTCACTGTGATGTACGGTCCTTATGGAGTCCAGTTGGTGCTGAACGCTGCAGAGGTTCCACACAACGGCCACAGGTTTATTTATATGAACTACAGAAGAAAATGCTGAACATAAAAAATGTGAGAGAAGACCAGTGAAACTCCATGACTGTCACGGTCCACATTTACACACTGCAGGGTGTAAATCTGACGGCCTGTTAGCTGTTAGCACATTAGCCAGAACTGGGCTTTAAAGTTAACAAATTTGCCAGTCTTTGGACTCTTTTACATTAATACTTAATATTTGTTGAGTTTTTCTGTTATATTTGCTAGAGCACACAAACCCTAAAAATGACTTTATAATTAAACTAATTTCATAAATAATAAATTAAAGCCACAAAATCATCCATTTATTTCTAAAGAGCCAACAATATCAAATCTATGCCTAATTACGATGAACTACTGGTAAAAAAATAATAAAATAATTAGTTAGATTTTACTTTGATTTAAGTAACTTTTTACCAATACAACAAATGTCCGTCATCTTTAAAAGCTTGTACATCAACTCGTGTGCCAGCAGGTGTCACCAACATGCTCAAAGCATTGAGTGGAGAACTGACTTTCACTACAATAGGCAGGAAATGTCAAAGCTTCACGAAGCCATCACTGACCTCAAAGTCCTTAGTGTTCAAACTGCAACTATAGCACCCCCTGCAGGGAAGGGATGTTAGGCGACATAACACCAACTATCTCCATACTTTGTCTTGAAAACTGCAGGAACTTTGTCAGTAAATCAATGCTGCTGACGGTGTGTAATTACTTAAAGACATATTTTTAGTCCAACCTTCCGTGCCTCACAGATAGGTGGCCTCGTTGCTGAAAGTCTAAATGCAGCATGGCAGTAAATTCACAACGACACGGAGATTTACTGGCAGCCAGTGGGTTATTTAATGTATTAGGGAGCATAAAGGATTTTCTTTAACGTGCCAGAGGGGCTTTTACAGGGTGATACCTAAAGCTGCAGCAGAAAAGGGGGAGAGAAATCCTCACCCTGTGCTGGAGTTCCTGTCATCTGTAGAGACCGATGCTCTCAGGACTGTCATCCCTCACACAGGAGCCACATCAAAGACTCTGCTCTGACATTTCACCCTCTTTTTTTCTCTCTCCTGCTCTGGGATCATCGGCTCTTTTTACCTTCTCCTTAGATGACCTCACCTCCACCTCCACCTCCTCCTCCCCCTCACCTCCACCTCCACCCCCCTCAGCTTTCATCTACATCTGAGGATCACACCGGGTGTGTGATGTTCTCTCAGGAACATCTGATAACAAAGCTTCATCAATGGCTGTACAAAGTTGGAATGATACTACATGATACTACGGTGATACTACATAAAAACCCACATATTAAAACACAACCTTTCACTAAAACCAGCTGCTCACTGGTCACTGGTCACTGGTCATTGGTCACTGGTCATTGGTCACTGGTCATTGGCCACTGGTCACTGGTCACTGGTCACTGGTCACTGCTCACTGGTCACTGGTCACTGCTCACTGGTCACTGGTCCCTGCTCACTGGTCAGTGTCTCGCCGTACAAACCCAATACAAAGAGACCAACAGTCGCCAGCATCGCCAAACCAGCAAAACGTTTTGCTTTTAGGCAAAGATACTAACCACTCTTCCACTGTGTGGCCTGGAGAACAAATGAGTAAAATGAAACAGGACTGAACTTTTTTTTTGCCCCATCTGCTGGACAAACAAGGTGGTTGTGGGCTGCAGCACACACTTTAGTAAGTACTTTGCCCAGGGGCACATCAGCATGTAACAAGAATCTAACCCCTGACCTCCAGTTATGAAAACAACTCTACAGACACAGATATTTTTTTAGAACATCCTACCATGGCTGCCACTAAAGTCCAACTCTATTTCCTTGTCATCTCACTGTGACCACCAGGGGCAGTAGAAGGTTATCAAACATGGCTATAAGTATATGAATGAACAGCTTACACCTCATGACTCAACGTCTCTGTGAGGCATCACAGGACTGAACTCCTGGTCTACAGGCTGGACGGCACATGTTGTTGTTTACAGAGCGTGGTAACGAGCTCCTGCTCAGGTATGATCATGAGGTGTAAAAACAAAGAGCAGCTCAGGTTTCCCACTGAGATTCAGACCAAATAAAAGTGACTTCAGGTGAGGGGATGCCTCCTCTGTCTGCTCACATCCTGCTCCAATTACCCCTGCAGGCCTGAGGGAACGTTTCAGCTACTGTCTGAGCTCGTTATCAGTGACGAGTGTTCACCGTGTGCCAGGGAAATTAGTGTTTTGGTTCGGGTTGTTTTTTTTTTTTTTAATGAATACCAGCTTCTATCGAGTCCTACCTGATATGGAAGTTCTGGATGTTGACGTTCTTGTAAGGAGCCGTCTTCCTCTGGCACCACAGCAGGAGGCCTTCTTTGGCTGAGGTTTCTGCAGATGGAGAAGAACGATTTCATGAGAAGACGGAGAAAGTTTGTCCTCGTCTTCTGGAAAACCAGGTGCAAAATCTGAATGAAGTCCTGATATTATAATAACAGGACAAGATTTGAGTTAACTTTTAAAACTCCAAAATAATAATAATTGAATTATTATTATTATTATTATTATTATTATTATTACACAGTGGAGCGTGTTTTTTTATTTTGACTGACTCAGCAGGAGTGGATTAAATGGGAAACGTGCCTTTCACCCTCCGCCCCCTGCTGGTTTCACTGATGTGCACACGCTATACGCTTCACCGTCTGGTGCCGACAGTGAAAGTGAAAACACGCCAAAAGTGACTGAGCTTAAATCCCAACCTGAACAAATCAGGTCTGATCACCTCTGACGTCTGAATGGGATTAGACGGTGATTCTACTACAGACCTAAACGGAGGAGACAGGAGCGTGGTTCGGGTTGTCTCTGTGTGTGTGTGTGAGTGTGTGTGTGTGTGTGTGAGCAGGAGAGAAGAATCCTCTTTAAAAACATTCTCATTTAAATGAACACGACTCCACTCCACGGTGTGTGTGTGTGTGTGTGTGTGTGTGTGCTGTCTGTGTGAAGCTGGCGCAGGAGCATGAATAAGGTTTGACACTGACACTGAGTGAGGATGAATGGGAGAAACACACACTCACACACACTCACACACACTCACACACACACCCAGATGAACTGCAGCGTACCTTCCACAGAAATGTCTTGGATGGCGAAGCGGAGGATTATGGTCCAGATCATTCCCAGGGTCATTTTAGCGTTTCCATCAACAATCTCTGATTAAAAAAAAAACAAAAGCAAAAATTGAAAGAATTAAAACCACAGTTCAGTTCAGTACTACAACAACACTTCCAACAGACAAATCCCACCAACTGTGTAGAAAATATTTGCATTCACAAATACTATTAAATGATGTGTCTTTTCAACCCTTAGAGGCTCAGGGAAAGATTTGCAAAGAATACCCATAATTCCTCTCACTGTATCCTGTAATGATTTATTTTGAAAAGGTAAAGTCCACCGCAGTATTTTGATAAACACACAGCACAGTTCTAGAAGTTTGAAGAACACAGAAAAGTTCCACATTTAAATATATGATATTTTTTGTGGTCTTTGACAACATGGTGGCTGTGTTAACGTCTTTGTTTTTAATCATGGCACTAACGGTGGACTCAGCCACACTGATGAAATCCATCATTAACATTTAGTTCATTTATTCACAAATGAAATATCTAATAAATCCAACATGTCATTCTCTTCAGTCTAGAAATTCTTTCTTTACAAGTCAACTACAAACATCGACCTTTGGATTTGTCATTGTCTTTTTTTCTCCGTGAACAGAGACAGAGGTTTGAAAGCTTTTAAGCCAGACCAGAATTCCAGACGGATTATCAGACTGGAATCCTGTCCTGGACCAGCGACTCTGCTGACTGCTGCTGTTATGACGAGGACCAGTCAGAGGCTCAGATCTTTGTGACT